CAGAGGTTCTAAATAAATGGTAGCGCCATTTAGTCTTTTAAACCCTGGGTCATTCTGATCGCTCTGCCACGTTCCCTTGGCAACATTTTAATAAAGAATCCGTTGTCGGGTTGAAGACACTAGCCACTTCCCAGCCTCCTTCTGGCAGTGCGTTGGGGGTTTTTCCAATGAGATCATTTAAGTAATACCCTTAACACAAGGCCTGACATGTCACGTGTAGCCAACGCAGTCCCCTGGAAGTACGTCCTACAGCACAGGCACTCGACTGCAACGCCTGGGCTTGCGTCCTGGCTCTGCTGCTCGTGAGCTGTGCGACGTTGCGCAATTTGTTTGAGCGCTCTGTAACTCAGTCTCCTCACCTGTGAAATGCAGGTGATCATAATAGCACTTCCAGGCTTATAATGGAGATTAACTGAATTGGTACCCGTAAAATACTCATGACAGTGCCCGGCTCATCAGAAACACTCAATAAATACGTGCTGTCGTTCCTGGCTCAAGGCTTTTGTGCAAACTGAAGTGTAAAGAACATTGCAAAGGCAAATCCTGTAAACTGGGCCCTCACTGAGGTTATTCTGGAAGCTTCTCTCCACCAATAAGGCTATTTGAGAGGCATAATAGATGTCAGAATGAGGGAATTGGGGTCATACTCGGTGCAAATCTTGGCTAGAAATGACTCTTTAGTTATGTGAGCTGGAACAAGTTGCCTCACTTTTTCCATCTGTGAAATGGGGATAGTAACAGTCTCTACTTCACAGGATGGTTTTGAGGATTATCTGAGTTACACCGCGGGAGTGAAGCATTAATTAGAACAGTGGCTGCCATGCACTGTGTGTCCAACACTATGTGCCCGTATGCAGAGTTGGCGCTACGTGTGGGCTTGCGAGTCACAAAGCACGTCGCCTGTTAGGTCAGGGTACAGTTAAACAGAAGAATAAGAAGCATATGAAGGAAATGACTATCCTGGCCTGAACCGGTGAGGTTCTTGGACTTATTTGTTACAACAACTCACCCCACGTTTTGTGTCAGGCAGTCTTTCTCTCCAAATCCCGAAGGCCCTGACGGTATTGTGTTTGGAACTGACGTGTCAAAATACACTGACACCTCGGATGGGTTTCTTCTCGGCTTGCAGCTCATACATATTTTATAGAGCACTGTCTCCAGTTTCCTTTCAAGTTACAGAGAGGTTATCCTTTTCCTGTTAAGCTGGGGAACGATTTTTTTTTCCCTCTTCAAAGGAAAGCAGTAACCTCTACAGTCCTGTAAATGGGCTCGATGCACATATTACTGGAGTAACAAGGATCTGGAAGCTGTTTTCACTGGAGTTTACATGATGCGCGACAAGCCTGCATCATGAGATAGTTCAAGATATTTCAGGTTTTCATAACCATATCTAAGCATCGAGCATTACGTACATACAGATACATACACCACTGAGCCTTTTCTTGCTTTGCTTTTATTTTTTTCTTTTTAGAAAATGACACGTGTTCATTTTAGAAAACTTAAAACACACAAAGAATTTTTTAAAGTCACATATAAATTCTACCACCGAGAGATAACCACTGTTAACAACTTCTTCTGTTCTTTTTTTCTGTGCATGCATATAAATATTTCTTTCCAGAATGTGATCTGGCTGATGGTTAATTAACACGCTGTCCATATGTTTTTAAAGCTGTAGGTGGCTGTTGGTATACACTTTTTGGACATGCTGCAACTGTTCTGTGTTTGTAGTTACTCACAATTACACCTAACTTTATAGAAATAAATGTGCTTTTGAAATTTAAAGAAATATGAGCACGCTGAACTGAACGTACTATATAACAGTAAATATATCATGAACATTTCTCCAAGCCATTAAATATTCTCCTACATTATTAAAAAAATTAAAAAATCACGTCCCTTTTCATTGCAAATGTAGCACGTCGTGTTCATTACAGAAAAATTAATTTAGGTAAAGCAACAGGAAGAAAATTTAAAAGTATCCATAATCTCACTATACAGAGATAACTATTATGAACAGTTTGGTTTATATCTTCTTAGGCTTTTTTCTGTAAGTTTGTGTATTAAAAAGAAAAGACCTAGTATATATTTTGTGACCTGCTTTTTCCAATTAATTTTTTTTTTTTTTTTTTTGAGACAGAGTCTCACTCTTTTGCCCGGGCTAGAGTGAGTGCCGTGGCGTCAGCCTAGCTCACAGCAACCTCAAACTCCTGGGCTCAAGCGATCCTCCTGCCTCAGCCTCCCGAGTAGCTGGGACTACAGGCATGTGCCACCATGCCCGGCTAATTTTTTCTATATATTTTTAGTTGTCCGATTAATTTCTTTCTATTTTTAGTAGAGACGGGGTCTGGCTCTTGCTCAGGCTGGTTTCCAACTCCTGAGCTCAAACAATCCGCCCGCCTTGGCCTTCCAGAGTGCTAGGATTACAGGCGTGAGCCACCGCGCCCAGCCCCAGTTAGTTGATTGTGTATTAGTATTTCTATGTCCGCCACTTAAAATGGCTGCACAGATTCCATTTTAAGGATGTATTATAGTTTAAACTATTTTTGGACATGTAAATTGTTTTCATTTTTAAAAAACTATTTAAACTCTGTTGTGATGAACATCCTGTGGTTTGTTCTTTGGGCTAATCTTTGATTATTTCTTTAAGATAAATTCCTTCAAGTGGAATTGCTGAGTCAAAAGCTATGTAATTTCGGGGGAGGGGGGAAAAAGCTATGTAATTTTGAACAATTTTGAATGTATTTCCCAAGTGTCTTCAGAAACATTATGCCAACTAAAATGCCCATCAGTAGAGTACAAGAGTTCCTTTCATTATAAAAAACGCTGGTGCTATGTTTCTTTTACTTTTTGTCTATTGGATACCCCAAATATTTCATATTACTATTTAAATTTGCATCTCTTAATTTAATTTTAGCTTTTTTACGTTCCTTGACCATTTGATTTATGAGTTGGATATGTAATAAGTATAATAATCTTTTTAAAAAATTTATTCTGCAAATAATTTTCTCGTTTTGTCATTTGCTATTTAATTTTGTAAAATTTTTGACATAGGATTTAAAATTTTTGGTGAATAAAATGAATGAATTTTTACTTGATAATTTCTTCTTGTGGCATCATGTTTGGAAAATCCTGTCTCTCCAGCTTATATAAATATTAATTTAAATTTTTTCTAGTATTTTTATTATGTTAGTTAAATCCTTGCAACATCTGGAACTAATGGCCACATATAGAACGGATGGGCAACCTCTGAACCTGAACTCACCTGTCCTCTTTCTCCAGGTCGTTCCTCCTCGTGTTCCTTAAATTTAGTGAGTGCAAGTGACACCCCCGGCTACCCAGCCTGAAGCCTGGGTGTCAGCTTTGACGCCTAGTCCTCCTCCAGCCCCAGCTAATTAGTCACCAGGTCCTGCGGGTTCCTTCTCAGGCTCCGGTTTGTGGGTTCGGGGCCTTTTCCAACAGCTTGTTCGTGGGGCTCCTGGCTTCCATCCTGCGCCTCCCAGTGGGCGCTCCCTACGTCCGCCAGACGCGGGATACAGAACCGGAACCGAGCAAGGCCTTTTACTTCAAATGCTTCCGTGGCTGCCCCGTGGTCCTAAGCTCTCGGGATGGCACAGGCCCTTTGTCCCTCCCATCCCAGCCCCGGTCACCATACGCCACCATGTCTGGCCCTTGGCGTCCAGGAAATGGTGGAGCTGAGCTTGGGCACAGCCAGGAAATGAGCCAGCTGTGTCCCCCGATCGCTGGGCAGGGCCAGGCCTATAGGAGGGGTCACACCTGAGGCAGGTGCGCCAGCATCACCTTCCAGAGCCTCCTGTGGTGAAACGGGGTCCCCACGACATTGGATGAGGGAGGCCTTTGGGCTGTTCCCGGGCTACCTACAGAACACGATCCCTGCCGACCGTGGGGGCAAGGGCATGCCAGGGGCTTGAGCCAGACAGTATGACGTGGGCCCCTCACGAGCAATGTCATGGACAGAAGGGGCCCAGTGAAGCCGGGGGACATGGTGGCAGGAGGGGAGGGCCGGAGGCAGGCTTCCAGCTCCCCTGCGGCGCCCCTTCCCCAGTCCTGCCCCGCCCACGCCCACCTCCCCTCGCTGCTGCCCAAACGAGGGTCCCAGAGACAGACCCCGAACTGAAGACCGGATGGAGCCAGATTCCGGCTGGGGTGCCGCACGCCCCAGGCCCGGCGCGGGGCAGGGCCGGTGGGGAGCAGCGCCCCCCTGTGTTCAGAGAGGGGAAGAAAGCAATTATGTCTCGGCAGCCACTTTGCATGAGAGAAGATTGATCTGTCCTTCCGGTGTGTTGTTTCCATAGAAGCAGGGCTTAACCTTTTAAGTGAAGATTATAAAGCTACCTAATTCATTTAAAATTAAGCTTCAAGCATCTCGGTACTTAATGCTCAAGTGTTTCTGTGGGACCTGCTGTAGCCATTGATCTAACCGCCAGACAGCGCCTGCGACTTCCCCGCATTCGAAGGCTCTTGTCTGGTAGCAAATCTCCTTGGTTTCGTTATTTTTCAAAATTAACTTCATAAGGAGATATAACTCCTGTGGAAGATCGCCAGAGTATTAATAAATACCTTTTAATTAATGAACAGCATTAACTTGTCTTATAAACACAGGAAGACGGGCACACAGGCAAGACACGTGTGTGTTCCATTAAAGTGATTTATTGTAATCTTCCCGAACGGACATAAAGAGCATCTTGGGAGTTGACATCACAACACAGTGTTATACACCATTTTCACAACTAGCCTTGCGCTGAATTCTTTTTTAAAGAACATAGTCATTTTAAAAAAATCTAAGTATTTACACATTAATAAAACATATATACAGAAGATCGAGACGTTATCCAGAGGATATGGAATTTATTTATTTATTTATTTTGCTAAGAAAGCCTATAAAAGGGATTTCTGAATAAAGTCTGAACAGTAGTCACAGTAAGTAAACACAAATAACAATTTTTAATTTACAAAATATGATTTTACTGTCGTGGTTTTGATATGTATTTCCAGTGTGTATTTCCATTGATATGTATTTCCATTGCACACGTCTGCGAGCTAAACAGCCCCCACCCCTCCTCAACTAGTGACAGCTCCAAGCTGTGGCCCAGTCTTGGAAGGAAGTGCTTTTGAAGGTTGGTGGTGCATATTTAACAGACCCACAGCTGTAGGTAAATGTTTTTAACTTTACTAGCAACATAGTCATCCTATTTTAATAGAGTGAAAGGTCACTAATTAATCTTTTCTATTCCCTTGAGAAATGGCTTCCTTCTGGGAGGCAGAAGACAAATTTTAAAACATATGCTGCAAAGAAACAAAAGCCCTGGCTCGCAGTGCTTCCTCCAGGCCACTTGATGAAACAAAGGGACTGGTTTCGGGGAAGGATTACTTCCTGGCCAGAGATAGAAAAGGCTAACTAAAAGGTATGATGGAAATAATTTCTCTGAACCTTCCTTATAGCTTCAAAAAGGAGAAAAATAAAAGACACACACATAGGAGATGTGACTTGTCTAGCAGTTAGACTGTTGCCACAGGCCACACCCCAAACCAGCTTTTTGTCACCCTACAGAGGTGCCTGGCCTCATCTTCAGTTGATTAGCTGGTCTTTAGTGGAATACTGATTTATCCTAGAGCGCCCCCCTCTCTCTCTCTGGGTTTAGTTTCTCAGTACCTTGGACAGGGTAGTAAGGAAATTCGGATTCTACCCGGGGTGGCCACTGATGGGTTAAGTGGCCCCAGGCAACCAAGTACCCTCACTCTTCCTCAGCCTCCCCACCTGAGGGGTGGGACTGAGTGGCCTCCACAGTAACTCTGATCTCTAACATTCTGTGCTTTGATGAAATCAGAGCTAGGGGAAGGTGTTAAACCGCCAGCATAGCAGTCCTGAACCCTGGGCCCGGTGGCTCTACAGTCCAAATTTCTTTCATGCCAATTTTTGGCCTTTGGGGAAAGTGTCAAACATTCAAGGCAGTTTGCTTTATACAATAAATGAGGTGTGAATACAGTATTTCTAAATAAAACAGTATTTTAAATATACCATCTTCCTAGAGAAAAAAATCTGGAGGTAAATATTTCTGTAAAACAAATATCCACACGCCAAGATATAGCTTTAAAATAAATCCAGATTTTCATATGTTGGTTTTATGCAAGTAGAGGGCGAGTGTACTAGGAACCAAATAAACTATATAATATTAAGGACATTTGTGGCCAGTCGTCACACAATACCAAAACCCTGGCCCACTCAGTTGAAACCATCTGTTAAAATGGTAGTCGGGTATCATGTAGATAACTGATTATGCTGAGTTTTTTATCTTTTAATTAATTTGTCCTTGCATTGCTGCAACTTAGGTGAAAGTATTCTCTTTCCTAAAAATTCATGTCATTTACACTGACTCGGTTACAAATGGCTATTTTGGGGGGCACTGACGTCATAAATCATTTCATCTCACAGGTCAGAGCTCTCCTGTCTTCCAGAACAACGTTCTCATCTTCTAAGCTGATGAAAGGCTGATTAACTTTGGCCTTCACAACTGCTCTCTCGGCACAGACAAGAGCCATGCTCCTTTATATACCACATTAAGCAATTTATACTAAAATAAATATGCTTTAAGGCTCTATATATGCACGTTGAGGTTTTGGATAAAAACAGGGAAGAGAGAACCGCTTCTTCAGAACGGGCAATGAACTAACTGGATCGTATGCTGGACTTTTAAAGGATAACAAATCAACTCCGAAAATGATTTTTAAAGACTTTATCCCAAATTGGAGGCTTGATTATCACATATCACAGAGAAAGTACATGGAACTGTTCAAACGTGACAGGCCAGCTTCACAGAACACCCACATTGTGCAGGAACCTGAAATGCTACGTGGATCTTTGAGGAGACTCAAACGGAAGAGTCTACCGAATGTGCTACCGAACAATGTCACTAAAAGGGAAGTCTAGGCAATGAAACCTGGTTCTGTGTCCTCCGTGTTTTCTCTCCTGGTGTCAAATATATTACCTACAACAGAGACAAGACAATGAAGGGGGGAGAGCCGCGTCTCTAAGGGAGAACTGTACACTTTTCTACGACAGCGACACGGCTGGAGCTGGGCGTTCTGGACAAGCGAGGGCTCACTGGGGACGTGCCCGTGCTTCAGAGTGAAGTCCCTAAGTTTGCAGCCAAGCCTTTCGCTCTACTAAATGAGCAACAGTAGGAGTTAGAAATTTGTAAATGATTATTTTTTACAAGAAAACCCACGAACGTGTGTAACTGTTAAGAGTGTGTCCATATATTGTCCAGTAATAGAAAATGGCTAGATAAAATATGATTTACCTGCAAAACAATAGCATGCAGCTATGAAAATAAGGCATATGGAGATTTGCAATACAATGAAAAATGCTTGATAGGTAAAAAACAAAAAACTCAGGAAACAAAATTTTATGTTTCATCTCTACTGTATAAATAAAATAAATATAGAGAAAAGTCTGGGAAAAACATCCAATAATGGTTGTCTCTGACGGGTAAAATCAATTTAAATGTTATTCCTTATACTTTTCTTTATTAATTTTTAAAAAGAAATGTATGTAAAAGAATGCCAATTTATGACAATAATTGCTAAGCCCAGATGGCCATCACCCTATTTCAAATTCAGAAGCCCCGTTTTAAATTTTAGACAGCACTGTTTCGATTTTACTTTCTCTATACTTTTCAAATGCAAATTGTTCCCAGTTCCTGGGTGGCTTTTCTTGGTTACTCTCTGCACATCTGGGCTGCAGAATTTATGTAACTGCGTCTGCCTCCCGCGATAGCCTGAGGGCGGGCATGTGGACACCAGAACCCAACACAGTGCTGGTTCCTGGTAGCTGCTCAAAAAGGCTTAGTGGACAGGGTTGAGGGAAAATAAAGAAAGAAAATACATTTCTCCACTATAGAATCTGCATCCATTTTTGTGAAAGCTTGAAACGACACATAGTAGGTTGCTTAAATCTAATGGATGGAAACAAATGTCATTTGACCATCTGACTGTAACCCTGCCCTGGTCACTTCTGATTCAGGGTTTACAGCCCCTCCCCTGCCCCTTCCTAACACGCACAAATTTGGAAGGAAAAAAAAGCCTTAAAAGGTAATAAAGGCATTGTTAAATCTTTGAAAAGGACTAACTGTTGCCAGCTCAGATAAAAGAGACAATGAAGGTCTATATCGGAGGCTGTGGGTTGCTCCAGTGGTTTGAACCAGGGAAGCTCAAGTTCAAGGACGAAGCTACATGTGCAAGAAGAGTGGAATTCACCACTCGACGGTCTTAACTAGCGCACATGTGAGGAGCAGGTACTACTACTAGCAGCGCTTTCAAAGAAGCCAACCAGACTGGGGGTTTTACTTTAGAGAGGCAATTAAGGGACATGCTAGACTAACAAGATTATTTAATTTTATTACTACGAAATTTGAGCACCAACCTGCAACTTCTTTCCCCCTTTTTCTAAATATAAACGTTTTTATTTATCATGCTGTTTAGCAATTTGTATCCAATATCTATCAGCAGTCTAGTGGAAAGACCTGCAGTTGGGTTCTACTACTTTCTTCATCGTGACCTCACAGCCTTGGGCAAAATTTGAGAAAGGACTCGAATGAATGAGCTTAAACTGCAGTGAACTTCAGTAGACTACACGACGAACACTCTAATGGTGAAGACTGAGACACTGAAATGGAATCTCGAGGGGATTAGTACATCCATCATCTCGGAATCTTTGAGAAACATGCAGAGGAAAGCTGGCTTTGGCTTAGGTATAAGAGGGCTATACGCTGTCATGGCTGGGAGTCGAGGGAGCTGGGCTCCGGCCAGGCCATCGACCAGCTGTGAGACCTTGGGAAAGTCACTTAATGTTTCTGGGCCTCGGGCTTTTTTCCTGTAAAAATAAAAGGACTGGATAAAAAGAAGGGATGGGACTAGACAATCTCTCAAGTTCCTTCTCATTGTCAGATTCCTTGACATTCTTTTCAGTTCCACGAGGCTCTTCTAGCAGCCCCTGTGCTCAATTTTCTCATCTGAAACATCACCTCCGTGTTCAGATAGGAACATGCCAAGGTATTACTTCAAGGGGAGGAGGGTTCAAATAATAAGACAAAGCCCACTGTGTCACAGGACACAGGGAGGACAGGCAGTGCAGATGCCTGGAGGCACAGCTAGAAAGGCTGGTGTTTCCCCCAGAGGGTCCCCTGACCACCACGGTTTCATTGCCGTGATCAGTGTCTCATGCATCTACTGGGAAAAGGCCAGAGGTGACAAGAATAAGGCTGAGATGAGTTGCCCCGATATTCAGAGAATGACAGATTGGGAAGGAACAATAGAGATTATGCATTTCAATTCTCTTAATTCACAAATGTGGAAACACGGCCAAACAAGAAGAGAAATCCCTTTCATGTAATGACTATATACGGCAAGAACTTGACATAAGCAGGTCCTTTTTGCACTATGTGGTTCATTTCATTTATTTGTCCATCGATCTGTTGCTTAGCTACCCGATGACAGAGAAAGCAATGTGTCACTTACATGGCTGAGATTTCTTGGCGCTCTGAAGTTCACTAACACATGCCCACCCTGTAGCTATGAACTTGGCTTTTGCTGTTATCTTGGGATATGTGCTATCAACGAACACATGACCTAGCAGAGTTCCTACACAGCTGGATGCTCCACTAATATTTGCTGAATTTCATTAAAAACATACCTCCCAAATCTAGAGGAAAAAACATGAGTTGAGCTTTTTCGGCTAGAGGGTTTCTTGGGGTGTCTGGGTTTTTGTGGACAGAGAGTCTTGCGGTATTCTTTTGAGGGCAGTCAACAAAGAGTCCTGAGGCCAAGTGAGGGAATAAACTGCTTAACACATGGCTCATTGATCAGACACCTGTCCCTGCGGCTCTCAGATCTGAACCAAGACCCAGGCAGGAGGCCAGGGTCAGAAGCGTTACTTAGAAGTCAAATAATGTGAAGTCAGAATTATGCCTATGGCTTAATACAACAGTGGGCAGCAGATGCTTCAGTGAAAGGCTGTGTTTGGCCGATCTGGGCAGAGTTATTAGGAATGTGCCACTCACGCTGGAGGCGTGGGCTTATTCAGTGACTCAGTTAAAACACAGTGTTCACTGGGTGATCCTTGACCAACTGCTTCGGGCCCCAAGGCCTTTTGGAGGAGGTGGGGAGAGGACAGAGTGGGCATGAACTGGATCACACAAAATTGGTGATCCCGGTTCTAAAGTGAAATCTCATTTCATGTTAAAATATTTTTTAATGTCCAAAGGTTTGGAGAGACAAGATGTGATACTTCCCCGGATTTGCTCTTCGGAGATCTTTTATGACTATGAAACAGAGGGTGAGAAAAATGTAGCTTTTCGTACGTTTTTCATTCAATGTGAAAAATATCTCTGAACACAGGGCCTCGAGAAGCTCCAAACACTAGGGTTGCGTGTCTGCTGCAGAAGCAGTTGCTCAATCACCTCGTGTTCAAAGCATTTTCAATGCAAATATTTTTGCGTGCTGTATTTTCCAGCGGGGGTTGAAAATGTAAATGCGTTTTATTTACCTGTTGGTGGTAGAGAAACTCCGTCCAGTCTTTCATCACCGTCAGCTACCTCTGCTGGTTACAAACACAAAACACAAATCTCATTAGTTTCAGGGAGCACATTCATTTTGCTGAAAACAGTAA